AGATTCTGTGTCTCCCTCTCTCTCTGTTCCTCCCCCGCTCATGCACTCGCTCGCTCTCTCTCTCTCTCAAAAATAAATAAACATTCAAAAAAATTTTTTTAAATAAAAAAAATAAAAACAGAATCACTGTATGGTTTAAAAAGTATTTCGTGTATGGTAGTATATAATTAAATTTATATGATAACCAATAAAATAGGTAAGATAGATAATAGTGTCATCAGTGTTGTGTATAGAACAGGGTTTCTCAACTTTGCACTATTGACACTTTGGGCCAGATAGATCTTTATTGTAGGGGCTGTCCTGTGCATTGTAGGGTAATTTAGCAGCATCTCTGGTCTCTACCCACTAGATGCATTAGCATTGTGCCTCCTCAGTTATGGCAGCCAAAAGTGTCTCTGGATATTGGGAAATGTTCCCTATGAAGCAAAATAACCTCCCATTGAAAATCACTGCTATAAAGAAAGAAACTGGTTCTGAGAAATTAAGCAACTTAATGAAGATCATACCTTTTGTAAGGAAAAAAGACCTTGAGCCTGTCTTTCAAATCCAGTGTTTTTTTCACTACATCTGACTACATCATCTGTATAATAATTTTCAAAGGTTTCATAGTAGTAGTTCAAGCAATAAAACAATGTGACAAATAAGCAAAACCCAAGTTTTAGGTACAGGGCACAAGAGTAGACCACATTTAGACCAGTACCTGTTACCTAACTTAATTTAATGTCAGCTAATCTGCAGTATCTAATAGAAAGCATCTTACATGTTCATTCAGTATGTATTGAGCACATACTATATATGTCACATATCATTCTATGTTCTTTGGTATATAACACTGTCTTACAATATAGAACTTAAATTTATATTGGGAAAGAGGGAGGAAAGCAGATAAGAAAAGGCTTTCAGGAAAGGCCTCTCTGAGGAGATCACATTTAATGAGAGACCTTATGAAGGAGTAATTCAGGCAAAAGGAAGTTCAGATCTAGGACACAAGTGAAACCCTGTAGGCAGGAGCTTACTTGCCATGGTAAAGGAATAATAGGTATGTCTGTGAACAAGGTAAGGAGCCACATAAAACCATGTTTCTAGAGGGAGTTCGGGCCAAAGCATGTTCACTTAGCCCATGGAAAGGAACTTGACATTTATTTTAAATGTTAACATGAAATCATTGGAGGGATTTTGTAGAAGAGAACTGATTTATGTTTTTAATTTTTTTTTTAATATTTATTTTTGAGAGAGATTGCGAGCAGGGGAGGTGCAGAGAGAAAGGGAGACAGAATCTGAAGCAGGCTTCAGGCTCTGAGCTGTCAGCACAAGAGTCTGATGCAGGGCATGAACCTATGAGCCTTGAGATTATGACTTGAGTTGACTGAGCCACCCAGGCACCCCTGATTTATGTTTTTAAAAGATCATTGGCTATCATATGGAGAATAGGGACAAGGGACAGACAACAAAATAGGAAAACAAGAGACTAAGAATGGAGGCAGTAGATGTGATGAGAAGTTGTCACATTCCTGAGATTGAGCCAGTAAGACTTGCTCTTGTTAAGAATCAGGTGTTTGACCTTAGCACCTCTGAAGAAGGGGAAAACTGGGAAAGAAGCAGGTTGAGAGGCTTAGAACTAGTAGCTTTGGAGACAGGTTAAATTTTAGGTGTGTAATGCTCATCCAAATGGAGATAGCTAGTGGGCAGTTGAATATCAGCATTGGATTCAGGGAAGGGGTTAAGATAAGAATATTAATGTGGGAATTACCAGCGCATGGAGGTTACTCAAAGACATGGGTAGGTGAGCTCATCCAAGCCCAAAGAGTACTGATTTAAAAAGAAAAGAGCCTTTGGAAAGCTGAGCCCCGGTCATCCTAAATTTAGAGGGCAAAAAAGCAGGAGGGCCAGCAGAGGAGCTGCTATGTCTCAGGGAACTAGAGAAAAAAGGCATTTTAAGGAGGAAGTGGTTGCCTTTGTCAAATGCAACTGAGGGGCCCAGTAAGATAAAGACTGAGAATTTGGTAAGAGCAGGAAGGACAAAATCCTGACCAGAATGGATTAAAAAGAGAATGGGAAATGAGAAGGTAGAGTGAGTGTAGAGTATTTATTTAAGGGATGGTCTTGGTCTTAAGGGTTTTGGGGTTTTTTTGTTGTTTTTAATTTAAGTTAATTTATATATAGTAAAATGCACCTGTCTTAAGTATATTTTGTTTTTAAATATAAGATACTGCATTTTATTTGTATGCTGGTAGAAATAATCCAGTTGGAAAGAGTGAGTTCATGATGGGAGAGAGAAGATAAGTGCAAGAGCAAGGCCTTATGTAGGCAAAAGAGGACAGAGGTAGCACGAGTGAAGGGGTTGGCTTAGATGCAGGGACTGTTTGTGTGCTATTTTAGTAGGGAGGGCAAAGCATAGGGCTGCAGAAGGAGGGAGGGTCATAGATTTGTTGGTAAGAAGATGGGAGAGTTCTCTAATTGCTTCCTAGTGAAATGAGGCTAGATTTTTAGAGTGAAGAGAGGGAAAGGGAGTGGGAATTGGAGTAAAGAAAACAAATAATTGGGAGAATGATAAAATGAATTGACTAGAGAAATGTAATAGGATTGCTGAAATTCTATTTGAGGTTATATATATTTGTATATTTTCATATAGAGAATGTGTATGTGTGTGTATTTTTTTTTTTAATTTATCTTTATTTAAAAAGCAGCTGTCACATAGTTGTTATCCAGCTATGTTGCTACTCTGGTATAGGTACACAGTAGGCACAGAAACCCAGGTCTGAGGATTCTGCAGGGGAATCTGATGAAAGGAAGAGAGCAGGGCATGAGCATGGGTCTTGCCTTGGGAGATGGTTATATAGTCTCTGACCAAAGATAGACATGAGGACATGAGGCTCTTGAGTGCTGGAAAGTAAAACAAGCAGGCCACTGAATTGCCCAATCTCATGGGGTTGTAGGAATGAGCATCCTAAAGGATGTTAATTGGAGAGTCAGGAGCTGGTGGTCAGAGAATGAGATTATTAAAGTTAAGATTTGGGGGCTGGATAGTAGTGTATGAAAATGATAAGAGTTTGCATCTGTTGGGGTAGGTGGCCAAAGTGGGGTGAGGATAGGATGGTTGGAAGTGAGGGAGAGAATCAGGGAAAGAGTTAAGAGTGCTGGGTGAATGTCTACGTGGTGGGAGCCCGTGGGAAGGCTGGCCCAGAGAGGGGCAGTGACCTTTGCCATGCTCCCTGGGTAATGGGAAGCATTGGAAGGATGTTGTCCGATAGCATGCATTGTAAAGGAGAAGTGGGTTTTGAGGGAAAGGGAGAAAAAGTCGTCGGGTAATACTTTTCTCTGAGGGTGGACAGGTTTTAGGTAGAACAAGAAAGGAAATGGAACATTCAGAGACCAGGATAAGGATATAGGATAGATACTGCTGTTGGCAGGAGTGAGCTCCAGGTTGGAATGGAAGGATTTGGGGGTTGGGGACTTCTCATCTTCACTTGAAGAAATTTTGCCTTCGAAAATTGTTGTATATGTTACTTAGTTTATCTAAAGGAATTATAAAATGTAATGTAGTTTTTCAGGAACCAATTTGATCCTTAATTTACTTTACAACATGTGTGTTACAGGAATGGTTTGCAGTGTATGTGGAACTTAATCAACAAATTGCAGCACTCTTAAATGCTGGGGATGAGGAAGATCTTGTGGAACTGAAGTCACTGCAGCAACAACTTAGTGATGTTTGCTACCGACAGGCCAGTCAGCTGGAATTTAGGCAGAATCTCTTACAAGCAGCTCTTGAATTTCATGGTGTTGCCCAAGATGTAAGTGTCTACTCTGATTGCTTTTCTTTTCTTCAAATGATCTGAACACTTATACTTATCTGCACATAATTTTTACAGGTTTGCATGTCTCCTAATTATTTTTCTGGAACAATAGAATAATTTGCTTGTGGAGAGATGATAAAAGTCTTTTTTTTTTTTTTTTTAATTTTCATTTTTAAGTCATTTTGCATGCATATAAACCTGTTTTGTCTAGTCTTCCAACCTAGTTGATATATTTATTTTGATTGTTTCTCTGTTTATGCTTTATAACTTAGATTGAAATGGAAGTTGCAGTACTTTTTTTTACATTCTGCTGACCTGGATATAAATCTTTGTCTTCTTGGTGCATGCATCTATGTGTTCTGTCTTTCAGATAACATGTATTCTAATTATTCGTCCTTGTCTTTTAACAGCATAGTCTATTTTCAAGTGTAATTGTGATAACCTCATTAGACATAAACCTCATTAATCATTAAACACTTTAGATGCTGATTACATCAGGGTTATCTCTTTGGTGTCCCTCTGCTTTAGTTGTCTCAGCAGTTGGATGGCTTATTAGGGATGTTGTGCGTAGATGTAGCACCAGCTGATGGAGCATCGATTCAGCAGACTTTAAAACTGCTTGAAGAGAAGCTGAAAAGTGTTGGTAAGCAGATTTTAAAAATGCTGAAACATAAGGGTTCTTTTTTTAGAAATATCATTACTATCGTTAGACAAGTCAACTTATACTGAACTAATTAGAATTATTTATAGGGAACATAGGAAAAATTAGTATAAAATAGGTTTTATTCCCTTGAAGGGTGTAATACATGGTAAAATTTTTATTTTTCATTGATGGCCAATCACCCTTCCTTCATTGGGCCTTTAGCTAAACTTTCTTCTTTACCCAGCTATATCTACAGGTGCTATGTCTTGCATATCCTATGAACAGTTATTTGTAGTGCATGCATAAACTGTAATTAGCTGTGAGTGTTCTGTGGTAAACCTTGTATGCCCCAAACTGTGTTTTATGCAATGATTTTTGTTGTTGCTATATCCTAACCTTGTGAATACATAGTCGGTTTGGTTCTGTGCATTTGTTTCTCCAAACTGGGAATATTGCCAAGGTTACCTACTCTCCCAAGGGGAGGATGGTCCTGTTTCACTTGACACCAAGGCCTTTTAACATTTTACTACAGTAGGAAGGAAATACAGTGAATTTCCCTAGGTTATGATGGAGAGAAGATAGTAGATGTGCGAATGGGAAGGGAGGGTTATATTGAGGGGGATAGGATGGCAAAGGGGAATGGAGGCAAGGAAGCAGAAACCTGAGACAGAGATTTAGTTGAAAATGATGACATACCATTGAACCAGATTAATTAGTGAAAAGGATTTGAGGGAATGGGTTTGAAAAATCATGTTTGTATGGGCATTTTACTTGTTTGCAGTCTTTGTTATTTTAACACATGATAGGCATAATGCATATTTTGTATCTAATATGCCCAATGCACTTCATTTCAAAGTGTCAGAAGCTTTCTGGAATCATATTTTTCCTTTAAAAAAGAAAAAAAAAAGAATTCCTCTATGCTTGTCTAGTTTGGAGTACTGTAAATCTACCCTAAATGTTGCTTCTTGTTTGGTATAAGCTGGACGATGCCTGTACTCAAAACATTCAGCATCCTTTTTTCACAGTGATCATACATTGCTTGAATGCTTTGAAGTCTTGTAACTCTTCTACATTTTTTTGAACAAAATGTTTTCTGTTCTCTCCTAAAAATTGGACTACGTAAAAGCAAAAAGGAAACAAATTGAAAAATCTTACTATAACCAAGATAGAAATTCTCACACTTACTTCCTGCTTTCAATTTTGAGAAATAATTGGAAATTCTCTTTATGGAGAATTTGGCATGAGAAGGAGCTCCAATTTGAACCACTATTAAAAGGGGTTTATTGCTTGAAGTGTTCAGAGACCTCCACCCCAAGGTAGTTTAATGCACAAAGCTGTTCCACTTGGAATCCAAGTACAATTGAGAGGATTTACTTGAGGGAGGGAAAGTGCCTCTTTTGTTTAAGAGATTAAATCTAGGAACTTTTTTTTTAGATGTAGGATTACAAGGTTTGCGTGAAAAAGGTCAAGGACTTCTGGATCAGATCTCCAATCAGGCATCCTGGGCCTATGGAAAGGATGTCACCATTGAAAATAAAGAAAATGTGGACCACATACAAGGAGTGATGGAAGATATGCAGCTTAGGAAACAAAGGCAAAGTTTGACTATTAATGTTAATTTTTGCTAAAATAACATAATATTTAAATAACTGATATAATTTATATTTTCCATACAGAGTATAGGGTCTCACCTGTGATATAGTAGGCATGTGTTAGGTTTTGGTGAATGGAATTATTCTGTGTAATTGTACTAACAACAACAGTTTGTTCAGTTAATGCTACCTTTTCCCTTTTTACCCACTGGTGAAATTTCACTTACACCCAAGTACTTCACATTCCATATCTTCACGGTAGCCTCTGACTCTTCTGTCCTTTAACAAAACCCTTTTTGGAGGGGTGCCTGGGTGATGCAGTCGGTTAAGCATCTGACTTCGGCTCAGGTAATGATCTCAGGGCTCGTGAGTTCAAGCCCCACGTTGGGCTCTGTGCTGACAGCTCGGAGCCTGGAGCCTGCTTTGGATTCTGTGTCTGCCTCTCTCTGCCCCTCTCCTGCTTGTGCTCTGTCTCTGAAAAATGGATAAATGTTAACAATATTAAAAAAGAAAAGAAAACCCTTTTTGGAGAACTTGGCTCTTTTCCATTTTCATTTAGTTTAGAGATGCTCTTAAGTGTGTCATCTGCATTGATCAACTTCGTCGTTTGAACTGAGTCACAAATTGTCACACATCCATTGTACTCATTTGCTGTGAAAGAATAGACAGTAGTTTCTGGGTAAGAGGCTATTTAGTTTTCTTTGATATACAGCGAGGAATTTTTTTTAATTAATTAATTTATTTTATTTTATTTTATTTTATTTTTTAATATATGAAGTTTATTGTCAAATTGGTTTCCATACAACACCCAGTGCTCATCCCAAAAGGTGCCCTCCTCAATACCCATCACCCACCCTCCCCTCCCTCCCACCCCCCATCAACCCTCAGTTTGTTCTCAGTTATACAGCAAGGAATTTAAAGGATTCTTTGAAAATTCAATTTGCAGTAGTAACTGGAGAGCATTACAAAGTAGAAGGTTAAATTAATATATGAAAGTATATGTTGTATGAAATGTTGGCACACTTAGAAATTTTAACATCATCAGTAAAACCTCACAGAACACATCACTACATCACGCAGAAAATATGCATTAGGCAGAAATTCCTTCTAGCCTAGTATCTGCAAACTTACCATTTCATTATTTATTCTAATCACAAAGTAACTCTGTTCTTACTAAAGCCAACTACCTCATGTTTTGCCCTTCCACTCTCATTCTCTACTCTGATCTCTGCCTCTCATTTAAATCCTTAAATCTCTCCTATTAAGAAAAAAATTATACACATGCATATACTGTCCTCTTCAACCGCTTCATTGTCATCTAGCCCTAGAGTTCTCCTTGTTGAAAGCTTAGTCATTTGAAGGTCTAATCTGCACTCATGCTACTTTCTCACTGACTGTCATTTACGTTTTAGCCCTCCCCAGTCTGACTGCTACCCTCACCATTTCACTGAACTTCTCATTGATGTCACCAGTGACTTTGTAATTGCCGTATTGAATAAATGCCTGATCTGGCTCAAAATCCAGGGAATATTTTTGGTCTTAATGTAGCTTGATCACACTGAATAGCATTGGACACCACTGACTTACTTTCTTCTTGAAACACTCTGACAACTTTGTCTTCTTTTGAAAACACCCTCATCCTGGCACTCTGTCTTCTCAGTTTTCTTCGCTGATTTCTTGTTCTGTCACTAATTTCACTGCTTTCAGGGTTTGAGGCCAAATCCTCTTCTCATTCTGTGTGTTCTCCCTGGACAGTCTTACTGCTTTAATGACTTTATGTGATTGTAACTAAGTATTTATGGTTCTGACCCCACCCCTGCCCTTGCTTTAGACCTGTAATCCCACTTGCCTACTTAGTATCTCCAGGTATTTTCCCCCGTACATTCCTCAGACCTAGTATGTTCAGATAATGTACTCTTCTCTTTTAATTTTCCAGGTAAAGTTACCATCAGCTACCAAATTTAGGATTTATCCTAAAATCCATACTCTTCCTCATCTCTTATAGCCTAGTTAAATGTCTTAAGTTCTACTTTCTCTGAATCCTGAATGTTTTCTACTTAAGATCTTCTCTCTTATCTGCCTCTGGCCTTGTTCTTCTCTAGTCTGTTGTACATGACAGTAAATCTTTGTAAAGTGCATATCTAATCATAAAACCCCACTCAGTGACTTCCTTTTTTCTCACATGAAGTTCTGTCTCCTTGAAATAGTGTGGGAGACCCTTCATAATTAAATCCTGCATAATCTTATTTCCTGCAATTTTCTCATATAAACACAGTTGTTTTTACTTTCCTGAATGCACTGTGCTGTTTCATGAATCTGTGACTTAGAATACTTCTTTCTTCATTTTCTGGCTGATGGACTCCTGCTTATTCTTCATGACTCAGGGATACTTATTTTTGGAAGGCTTTTTTTTTAGATTTCTAAGGCATGTTTGGTCACTTGTTCCTTCCTCTCCCATAGAACTCTTTACATAGCTCCACAGTAGCACTTACCATATTGTTTCTTTAGAAGTCCACCTCCCCAAATGCGACCAACTTAATAGTTTAGACCATGTCTTACATTTTCCAGGCACATTATCCAAGACCCGAAAGCGTGTATTAAGTATATCTGTGATAGCGTTTTCATCATTACAGTGCCTTACATTGTCGTTTAGCTTCAGATTTTAAACAATTCTTACCATAATCACTTCCTTTTAGTCCCTTGTAGAGTTTCCTTTAACTAAGGTCATTTTAGTAATATGGGCTTTCATAAAGGAGGTCCTTATAAAAAGTAGCCTTGTGACCATGGTTTCTGTATTGTTACTCAGCTTGCTGGAGAACATTGACTGTAGCAGAGCCCAGTGCCTCCTGAGTAACTGGTTATTGGTGTTTGGCATTGTAGTGAATTTGAATTCTCCCTTCTGTCTAAATTAACATAGAATTGCATGGGTATGAAGGGAATGGATCAGAGCTGAGTTAGGTCAAGTCACCTTGAAAGCTTAATCTGTATATTAGATAGGGCAAACCACACTAAAATTTAAAAATACTTAGGGCACCTTGGGTGGCTCAGTCCGTTAAGCATCTGACTTCGGCTCAGATAATGATCTTGCGGTTTGTGAGTTTGAGCCCCACATCGGGCCCTGTGCTGAGAGCTCAGAGCCTGGAGCCTGCTTCAGATTTGTACATTTCCCTCTCTCTCTCTGCCCCTCCACCATGCAAGCTCTCTCTTTCTCTCAAAAATAAATATTAAAATAAATAAGTAAATAAAATGTAAAAATACTCTGAATTGTATTTCTCTACACCCAGAGATCAATAGAGCTTTATTTCTTCTTTGGAAAACAGATGGGAGTGTTTTTTGTTTTGTTTTGTTTTTTTATTTAGAATTAGATAGTGCTTTGGGTAATATAATGAAAAATGTTAACATTTTTGTCTTATTTCATTGGAGCATCATCTTCAAAATTAGTATTTGAGAAGGTTTACACTTTTTTGAAGTTTTTAAATTTATTTTGTGGGAGGTGGGGGAGAGAGAGAGAGAGAGATCATGAGTCAGGGAGGGTCAGAGAGAGAGGGAGAGAGAGCATCCCAAGCAGGTTCTACGCTGTCAGTGCAGAGTCCGATGTAGGGCTCAAACTCACAAACCATGAGACCATGTATGACCTGAGCAGAAATCAAGAATCAGACCCTCAACCGACTGAGCCACCCAGGCACCCTGACAAACTTTAAATCTTATCTTTGAGGCTTGTTTAATGCTAACTGGCAGTGGAGATTTCTTTGGATTTTAGTATACCACTATGTTTGTGCTTTGCTTCAGTATTTTGCAGAATCCATTCTATCCTCGAGAGTGTGTGATTAGGTATCGTTCAGGTGTCTTGAGGGTTTTGAAGTATTTTGATGTAACATAGATATCCTTAAAATTCTTACAAGTCAGTACAGAATAGTTGAAGTCTCCATGGTGTGGAAGATTAAGTATTTTAATATACTATAAAATATGTGTGCCAGATGGTGATGTTATAATAGTTATTAACGAAACTGAAATGATGTCTTAAATTTATGTTTGGGTTCATTAGATGTGAAGACATGGTAGATGTGCGAAGGTTAAAGATGCTTCAGATGGTGCAGTTGTTTAAATGTGAAGAAGATGCTGCTCAGGTAAAGATCAATCAGGCACATGATGTAGTTGTCTTCTCTTAAAATATTGATTTCACCTATTAAAAAAGTGTATTTTTCATGGTCCAAGAAAGTAAATGCATTAAGTCAAGTTCTAGCTTATCTTGTTAAAATAATAAAGTGTTTTTTTTTTTTTTTTTTTTTTTTTTCTTTTCAGTTACCGTACTGGTCTTATTTGGCTTATCTTCTCAATGAAATTCTCCATTTAGCTAGAAATTGGGATTATTTATTATTATTACTGTTGACTTTCTTGTGAGTTATTACATGCCAGGATTAAGGCTGGTGTAGCACGTTGCTTTTTAACCTGCAAGAGGGTTTTTTTCAACTAGATAAACAATGTTATCTCTATGTAGATAGCATCACAGAACATGTAAGATCTATATTACATAAACTCATGATCTTCTAATAATACAAATCATAGGATATTGATTTTATTTTTTATTTTTTAAATGTTTGTTTATTTATTTATCTATTTATTTATTTATTTTTGAGAAAGAGAGCAAGAGGGAGAGAGAGAATCCCAAGCAGGCTCTGTGTTGTCAGACGCAAAACCTGACGTGGGACTTGATCTTATGACCTCTGAGATCATGATCTGAGCCGAAATCAAAAGCTGGATACTTAATTTACTGAGCCACCTAGGCACCCCCACATGATACTAAAAGAATGCTTCTCTTGGGGCACCTGGTTGGCTCATTTGGTTGAGCATCCAACTTCAGTTCAGGTCATGATCTCATGGTTCATGACTTCAAGCCCTACAGTTGGGCTCACTGATGTCAACACAGAGCCCACTTTGGATCTTCTGTCCCCCTCTTTCCGCCCCCCCCTCCCCGTGCCCCCTCTTGTGCTTTCTCAAAAATAAACACTTTTTTAAAAAATAAAAGAGTGCTTCTTTTTAATACATCTTGTTAGATTTTACAGATTTTGACGGGGAGGAGAGGTCATTAATTCATGTAGCTTGGCATTGAATGAAATGAGCTATTAAGAAGTTAGGTTATAACTAGTGGGTTAATTAATCACATGGTAGTAATTTTTCTTTTTATAAATATGTTTTGATATAATAAGAGTTATGAATCGAGCTTCACTGTTCTTTATTTTTATTTAGGCAGTAGAATGGCTAAGTGAACTTCTGGATGCCCTGCTTAAGACCCACATCAGATTGGGTGATGATGCTCAGGAAACAAAAGTTTTACTGGAAAAGCATAGAAAATTTGTTGATGTTGCACAGGTGCAGAACTGGTTATCTTCCTTTTCTACAAGCTCAGTGTTTGAATAGCTTTCTGCATGATTATAATGTAACTTAACCCTCCAAGTCCAAGAAGGTTAGTCATGTTATTTCAGAAATATCACAGAACTAAGAAAAGTGTCAGCTGGTACATCAAAACTAGCCTGCATAAACTTGAGAGGGTTTATGTTCTCCTGAATACAGGTTCTGTATATGCTCCCTCTGATTTATGTGTTATATGAATGCTGTTATATACTATGTCATTATATATACTGTGTTATATACTATGCCATTTTTAGGCAATCCAACTGCTCACTCACTAAAGTTAATAAGAAATATGTGTTAATATCAGTAAAGTAGAAGTCCCAGTTTTTCGTCTCCTCAGTATAACAACACAAACTCTGTGTGTGTGTGTGTGTGTGTGTGTGTGTGTGTGTGTGTGTGTGTGTGTGTGAGAGAGAGAGAGAGAGAGAGAGAGAGAGAGAGAGAGAGAGAGAAGTATCTTAATTTATTTTCCCTAATAATTGAACTCTCAGTGAACAGTTGTGGTTTCCTGTGTGGGATATAAAGTGCCCTATAAAGCGTCCATTTTCACCCACTTGTTGGTTAGTGAATGAGCAGACATTCTTTTTGGCCAGTGGAATCAAGTAGACTGAGATGGGGAAAACAGAGTAAGAGAATAAAACCTAACAAGGAAGAAACTTACTAAAAAGTATTGCTTTCCTATCTTTTATTATGCATGCAGTTAATTTATAGTATTAAGTGCCAGTGGAGTCATTCCGCATTGATTTCTGGTAGTGTTACTCATTTGCAACCACAGTCCTCCTGTACACTTTTCCATCTCTCTTTTCAGAATTCTTTTATTGTAATTTCATGTATACTTTTTTTTTGTTTGTTTTTAGAGCACTTACGACTATGGAAGACAGTTGCTACAGGCTACAGTTGTGTTGTGCCAATCTCTGCGCTGCACGTCTCGATCATCTGGGGACACGCTTCCTCGACTGAACAGAGTATGGAAACAGTTTACGATAGCGTCTGAAGAGAGAGTTCATAGGCTGGAGATGGCTATTGCCTTTCACTCAAATGCCGAAAAGGTTTGCTTTTTTAAAAAATGTAGTCTCAGTAGTATTTATTGCCTGTCTTTAAATATATTACTTTTAATGTTATAATTATGTAGTTAGCTTGGTTTTTTTTCTTATTGCAACTCCTATTAATCCTGTGTTTAAAGTTTGTTTAGATGTAATGTATTCTTAGAGAGTTCAGATGAAATCCTCTTAGTAATCCATACTAGTGCTGGCATACTGTGCTTGGAGAAATCCAAAACCATCCAGGAGTCCTCTCTCAACAGTGCTTCTCTTCTCTCCAGACCTGGCGCCCAGAATGTGCTCTCTATATTTAGGGTGGCACGACTCCCATCTCTTTCGTTACGCAACGAAAGGAAACTTTGCCTCTGCGTCTACTACTAATTGTCATAACATTTTTAAAAGAGCACTTAGTAATTTTATAATGTTTACACTAGAGACTACCCAACTCAAAGAGAGTAAGGATAAAAATAAAACTTTTTTTCATGTGTTATAATTAAAGATTCATTCTGGAATTTATTATTTAATGAATTCATTAGTCCCAGAAACCAAAAATGAAATGTGTAGTGTTATTTGGGCAGATTTTCAGCAGAGCCCTTTTCGGAACTCTGCACAGAGAAAATTTATAGCACCCAACCAACCCTTACATTTCTCCTCTGAGGAGGAGCTTCGTTATGTAGTTAACTTTGTTGTGATCTCGCACATTGAAAGTTTATGTGTGGGGGATGTTCAATATAATGAAATATGAGAAACCTAAATGTAAGTGTGATAGCCTAGTCTATAAAATAGAAGAGATATTATCAGGAATTAGATAGTTTCTGTCTTGTTATGCAGTACATCTGTTGGGAAGTGTTCATAGTTAACTCTCCCTGAGCTGGTCACTGAACTCCACAGGTCAGTATTTTGGTTTAAAATAGGCGTAATGATGATAAATGTGAAAGTATACATAAAATGGCTTAATTTGTTTATCTACTGATTGTTTTATTTTATTTATTTTTTTTTTTTTTAATTTTTTTTTTCAACGTTTATTTATTTTTGGGACAGAGAGAGACAGAGCATGAACGGGGGAGGGGCAGAGAGAGAGGGAGACACAGAATCGGAAACAGGCTCCAGGCTCTGAGCCATCAGCCCAGAGCCTGACGCGGGGCTCGAACCCACGGACCGCGAGATCGTGACCTGGCTGAAGTCGGACGCTTAACCGACTGCGCCACCCAGGCGCCCCTCTACTGATTGTTTTAATGAAAAGTTTTTATTGAAGTATATTAACATAGAAAAGTACACAGATCATAAATGTTCAGTGAATTTGTTGAATTCAGTCTGTTTGGTGAATTTTCACGAAGAGAACATGACTGTGTGATCAGCTCAGTATTCAAACAACAGAACATTACCAGTACCCCAGAAGCTCTCCCACCCTCTTTTAGTCACATTGCTCCTTCTGTCCCTCCCTCCTAAGAGGCCCAATTCCTAACACTACTGATAGCTTTTTTTAAAAATTAATTAATTAATTAATTAATTAATTGCAATTCAAGTTAGTTAACATACAGTGTAGTATTGGTTTCAGGAGTAGAACCCAGTGATTCATCTCTTACGTATAAAACCCAGTGCTTATCCCAACAAGTGACCTCCTTAATACCCATTGCCCATTTAGCCCTTCCCCCCACCCTCAATTTGGGAAAGAGGGAGTGGAGAGCAGGTAAGACAAGTCTTCCAGGCAAGGCCTCTCTGAGGAGATCACATTTAATCAGAGACCTTGATATGAAGGGGTAATTCAGGCAAAAGGAAGTTCATCAACCCTTAGTTCTGTATTTATGAGTCTTTTATGGTTTGCTTTTCTCTCTGTTTTTATCTTATTTTTCCTTCCCTTCCCCTACATTCATCTGTGTGTTTCTTAAGTTCTACATATGATACTGTTTTTAAAATGTATCTGTGAGGCCACTCTGGAATACAGTATGAAGATTCTTCAAAAAGTTAAAAAATAGAACTACCCCTATGATCCAGCAATTGTACAACTAGCTATTTACCCGGAGAATTTAAAAACACTTATCCAAAGGGATACATACACCCTGATATTTATAGCAGCGTTATCTACAATAGCCAAACTATGGAAGTAGTCCAAGCGTCCATCCATAGATGAACAGATAAAGAAGGCATGGCATATCTACACAATGGAATATTACTCAGCCATAAAAAAACGAAATCTTGCCATTTGTAACCACATGGATGGAGTTAGAGAGTTTAATGCTAAGTGAAATAAGAGAAAGACAGATACCATATGATTTCATTCATATGTGGAATTTAGGAAACAAAATAATGAGGAAAGGGGGAAAAAAAGGAGAGAGAGGCAAACCAAGAAACAGACTCTTAACTATAGAGAACAAACTGAGGGTTACTGGAAGGGAGGTAGGTAGGGGATTAAACAGGTGATGGGGATTAAGGAATGCACTTGTGATGAGCACAGGGTATTATATGGAAGGGTTGAATCACTATATTGTACACCTGAAACTAATGTTACAGTGTATGTTAACTAATTGGAATTTAAATAAACACTTTAAAAAATAAAATGTTTCTGCAAGGACATTTTAAGGTCTAGACTTCTCTTAAGAGGTCCTATAAGAATGTAAATTGTTGAGAGTTTTTTGCATAGAACATTACTGTTCTTTTCCTTCTGTTACCTGGCCTTTTTTTCTTATCATGCCTATAATAAGCTCAATTATAAGTTATTTACTGTTCAAACCTTTGTAAAGCTTTTTGTTATCAGATGGTATTTTCTTCTTGACTGTGTTTTATTTTATACCAATATGCATAAATATAACTCTAAGTAACTTACATAGTACAATGACTGAGAAGATACTTAAATTGAATCTAGAACTTCTTATAAGGTTCTTTATGAGTAATGCTGAAATGAACAGATTGGATTAAGTAAAATACAATGCAAAAAAAGTTGCAAAAATAAATACTTCTCATTTCCCCCATATTTTATGTTTATTTTTCTTATAATCTAGTGTGCATCTTAGACTTACAGCACATCTCAATTTGGACTAGCTGCTTTTCAAGTGTCACAAGACACATGTGGCTGGTTGCTACTATGTTGATCAGTGTGGGTCAGTACCTTTAGACTTAGCTATTATAAATTACAGCATTTTCTTTCTTCCTTTCTTCCTTCCTCTCCTCCCCTTTCCTCACCTTTCTAAATTTAAATGGTAATAGTTAAGGAAAAAGTAATATTTTATCAAGGACTACAGAACTTCCTATATGTGAATTATAGTTTTAACAGTTTACATCAGGTAAGTCAGCAGATCAATTTTTAAAATAACTGTAGTGTCTGTCTAGGTCATTCCATCAGTTCTGTGTTTGTATACTTGAGTATATGTGGTTTTGCATTTATATTTTGTTTCATTTTTGTAAAGTTTTTTTTTTTTTTTAAGTTTATTTATTTATTTTGAGAAGAGGGCAAGGGAGGGACAGAGAAAGGGAGAGAGAATCCCAAGCAGGCCCTGTGCTGTTAGTGCAGAGCCTGACACAGGGCTCAATATCATGAACTGTGAGATCATGACCTGAGCCAAAATTAAGAGTTGGATGCTTAACCAATTGAGCCACCCAGGCTCCCCTCTTTCATTTTTTAAGTCTGTAAGCTGTTTGAGATCAAAATCTATATCTCCGTCCCATCCCAAGCTGCTAAATAAACATTTAGTACAATAAATACTTAATGAATGAAGGAATACTTTGTAAGTGCAGTTTGAACTTACTTTCCAAATAGTAGTTTAGTATTATTTTTTTCTTGGAAATCACTGTAGACCTTTTGTATTCTCATTATATATTATTAGTAAGGATTATGTATTTCATTTTGTTAGGATTTTTTGAGCCAGTTTCACCAGTAATCAATCTTGTATAAGGGTGTGTACATGAAGATGCTAAGAACAAAACAAAAATACCTTCAATCTACTGAATTTACATGAGCTTGATTGCCTTTCTATATTTCTTGATTGATGACACCATTTTATTTGTTGCAGATTTTGCAAGACTGTCCAGAAGAGCCCGAAGCTATTAATGATGAGGAGCAGTTTGATGAAATTGAAGCGGTTGGGAAATCCCTTTTGGATAGATTAACTGTTCCTGTAGTTTATCCTGATGGGTATGGTACATGTTCTTATAATCTTGTCTTTTTATTGGTGAGGTCTTAAAGTTAAATCATCAAGAGAGGAAAATCTGTTTCTTAAAAAGCCAAGTAAATTAGCTTTGGTTCACATCTTCAGTTCCTACAATAAATTAGTTTGTAATGAAAAGAAATGCAAACTCAACTGTTAGCAAAAGTGGATTTGGTACTTGCTATCAAATGTGCTTCTTGACAGCTTGTTGTAGAAGAAAGATCACTGATGAGGTTGATACTCCTGGGTTCTAGCCTTGGCTGTGATGATAGGGAGTAGGGTGACTTTGGGCTTCATCCAGGGAAGGGAAGGGGAGTGGAGGGGTGTAATGTATAGTGAGCTTATAATTTATCAAACACTAAGTTAAGCACTTCATTTCACTATTTTTGACCAAATGGTGCTAGACCAGTGTGATTATTCCTGATTTACAGATGTAGAAACTGAAGCTCAGAAAGATTAAGTGAGGTGCTCAGGATTTCACAGCTTATAAGTGGAATTGGAATACACTGTCAGGTCTGTGTGGCTCCAAACCCATTCTCTTTCCAATATGCTGTACGGATTCGTAATTTCTTCATTTGTAAAACGATGGGGTCCTGATTCCCACATTCCTTTTACATTTCAAAAGATGATAGTAAAAGTAAGAAGTAATCTCATGCAAATAAATGGGCCAGTAAATGAATCTGAAGGAGCTTCATCCCTGAGGATCTTAGACCTTCTCAGTGAAAATAGTTTAGAAGTAATCCAGAGGATATTTAATTCAAATGACAGAGAAGCCAAGTCACTGGATACATCTATCTTACATTGTAGAATAGCATACTGGATAGCATTGTGGCCTCTGGAATCAGATTTCTTAGGTTTAAATCTCAACTCTACCACTTAGTAGCTGTAACACCTTGGGCAAGCCACTCAACCTTTCTGTGCTTCAATCCTGTCATCTAAAAAGTAGGGATATAAAATAGGGATATATTATTCATACCTCCTCAGGTTACAGGGGCAAGGGAATTATGTGAGCTGAATGTATATAAATTACTTGAATCTCATACATGGTAAGTGCCACTACTGTGTCATGAACTTCATGTGATTATTTGGAATTTATTTGGGGAAGATACGATTTTATTCCCTTGAAAGAATATAATTCATTATCTACATTTATATAATCTTTGGTCATAGCCAAACTTGAACCATCAGAAATAACCTAAATACATGTTACATATCTGCAGTGTATGAAAGAATAAAATCTGAAAGTTTGTAAATTCAGCTTATAACAATATTGAAGGGGCGCCTTCTTGTTGTTCCAGGAAAGCCCCACTCCTGTTTCCACATTTCACAGCCAGGTGTTAACAGCATCTCCTCTTCTCAGGTCAGCCTAGGAGCATCTATAACTGGCATTTTTGCTTGGGCTTCTCCTCCTTCCACAAGTAGTCATATGGCATTTCCTCATGCTTTTAAGATTGAAGAATAAGTACTGTGTGTTCAGATTTTACAACCACCTTTAATATGTGGATTTACTATTCTGTTCCATTTGTAGGATAACCTTTTGATGCTATACAAAGTTTGTTTGATAGCAAGCTTATTCAGATTTCTCTTTTGTCACATTGTCCTGGAAAAATAAATTATATGATCTCTCTGAATTCACTGCTTGAAGACTCAGGTTCAAATCCTGGTTTCCCCACTGTGTGATCCTAGTTAAGTCATTTAATTTCTAGGCCTTAGTTTTCTGATCTTAAAAAATGCAGATCGTAACCAGATACTTTGTAAGAACTCTTCTAGCTCCAAAAGATTCTAGTGGCTCCGAATACATTATCTTTTCAAGTAGGATAACATTAAATGATTTTATCTATTAAAGTCCCAAGTGATGCCTTAACATGAAACGGATATTTTATTTGCCAGCTATATTAGACAGTTGGTGTACATAACCCTTATCATTGAAGGACACATACAGGTTTTATATTTGTGTTTGCTTATGCACCTTAAGCTGAAAAGTAAATATCTCCAATGTTTGTTTCTTTTATGGTTTCATTGTTGGGTTGCATTGTTCAGTTTATTGAGATTGTATAAGTAAACATTTAGTACAATTAATCTATTTCTTTCAACATATCTTCAGATATTTTATGCCATTTATAAAAATGTTTCTCTGCAGGGTCCCTGGGTGGCTCAGTTGGTTAAGCATTCTACTCTTGATTTCGGCTCAAGTCATGATCTCATGGTTCATGAGATCGAGCCCTGCGTTGGCCTTTGCATGAAATATGAAGCCTGCTTGGGATTATCTGTCTCCCTCTCTCTCTACTCCTCCCTCACTCATGCTGTCTCTCTCTCTCTCAAAATCTTTTTTTTTTTAAAGAATAAAAAATTAAAAAAGTTTGTCCTACCGAATTACTACTCAAAGATAAACAGTATGGTTTGCAAATGAACTAATGCCTTATCACATAGATAATTTTTATGAAAATCTTTGCTTCCTTTTGAATTTGCTATGGTCAGTGGATTTATATTAACCTGATTGGGGTTTTTCTGTTTCTTTTGATTTTTAGAACTGAACAATATTTTGGGAGTCCAAGTGACATGGCCTCCACTGCAGAACACATCAGAGACAGGATGAAACTGGTTAGTCTCAAAAGGCAGCAGCTGAGACATCCTGAAATGATGACCACAGAGAGCTAATAGCTACCAGCTTCCCACAAATCTGCAGTTCATAATCCCGCATGTCGTTGGCATACTACAGCATTAGCTGCAATACATTAAGATACATTTCACAGTCAGAATAAGCCTCATTTCTCTCCATTTTACATTTCTCTCTACATGTTAACACTTTGCAACTACCAAGGCATAATTATTTAACATGCTTTGAGACCATAGACTCCAAGTATCTTAAAAGAAGGAACTGTAAACATTGCACTGAAAACTTGCTTTAAAGCTTTACCTGACCTGTCAATTTGTAGATGAACAACTGATAATAAGCTTTGAATGGTGCTAATAAGAGTTTAGGAATTCTCTCTATAAAAATGGTTGACCTTTCTCCCCAGGTGATGTAGTAAATTTAGATAATAGTTAAATTGTTACTAGTAGACAGTGGTGTACTCAAAAATTTTACTTTGTAATTCTTCAAAAGTGATTATTTTTATTGTGTCAGTATGAAGAAAATCTTCAGATCTTTGATATATCATATTCATTAAAAGACAGTTTCCTATTTGTATTGATAATGTATTAAAAGTTGTTTGTGCTTAATAAAAAGCTTCTTTTAAACATCTTATTTAATTTGGTGATTATATCCTGTTTCCAGACATGAGTGCCTTATTTAAAAGGGCATTCTTAGGATTGTGAGGCTGGCATAGTATTTGTTTTTTTCATGTTTGTTGCATGTATTTTAGCCAGGAAATTCATATGTAAGCATGTGTATATAATAAGCATGTTTAATTTTGAGAAATAATAAGTTTAGATCTTAAAGAACTTAAAAATAATGGAATACTATTTCTGATTGTTCTCTTCTTCAATTTGAAAAATGTTATCCAAATTATTACCTACCTTGAAGATACTTTATCTTTGGGGAGGAGTATGGGGAAGAAGGCATACATAATTACCTAAGTGTAATCCTTTATATCAGAGGAATCTTACTGGAGCTAAAATAGCATTTGTCAATAAAATTTAATTTCTCATACTAGAAGCAAAATTCTGAAGTAGTCTAGTAACAAAAATTGTACAACTCTTTTAGAAATAAAATTTATAAAATGTTAGTGCTTTTAAGTTTATATTAAGTTTAAATGGTAAAATACATATTTAATTTTTGTGTTAATTTTTATTTCAGAAAATGTTTTTGAAAAAGATTAAAAATACTTTTTTAGTCTGTGATCAATACAAAATTATGCAAAGAATTGTATGCTGGTTTCTTTTCATGTCTTCAGTGATGTTCATGTATCTTGCAATGCAAAAAAATCCCTCTGCACCTACCGATTTCTCCATTCTTCTTCACTGCCAGACTTCTCGGAGAAATCCATATCCATTCTCCCTGCATCCTCACCATTCACTGCTCAGCACAGCCTGGTGTAACATAGCACTTCAGTGAAACTCTTCTCAGTGTGCTCTCAGTTACTGAATTGAATAATTTTTTTGCCCTCTGTCTGCATTCCTTGTCCTCTGTCTCTGCAACATTTACACCATTTAGCAGCCTTTCCTAGACAGTGTCTCCACCCTCGAAGATGTTATCCTCTGCCATAACCGTGAGTACAGTCACACAGCTCTTAACTTAAAGTGTATCTACTCAAATGTGCTCTCAGATTCTGTCTTCAGAATGCTTCTGGAGGTATCTCATCCTTAGGGTTTCTGTTTTATCCCAGCATTCTCTGTTACGTATCTGGTCCAAAATTCTAGACCCATACTTTCAACTACCCGCTTGACATTTCCTAGATGAAGTATCATATTTTTCACCTTTCTTCTCTGTGAGCAGTTTTGGTTAAAGGTGCAGCCTTTTTTTTATAGTCAAACATGCCAGAAAATCTGGGAGAAACTTCTGCCCCCTTTTTTCTTATGCTGCCACTGCTTCTGAAAACATCCAGGAAATTCTTTCTATATTTGATAATCCTCTCAAGTCTTTTAGGACTTAACTTCTGAGTATGGACTTTTGTGATTCTTCATTTCAGTCTTCATAATGGTGCTCACCACATGCTACAATTGTTTATTGATGTCTGTGCCTGCTACATTATAATCTCTTTTGAGGGAAGGAATCTTGTGGGACTCTCCTGTTCCCAGCCTTTTCCTCATATGTAATAGTTGCTTTACTTCTTCTGTATGTGAATGGTCTGTTGTAGGCATTAGTAATAGTCCCCCTTATATGATAGTCTAAAGTGTGTTTTAAATATATTTCTTAAAGTTATGACTGACTTATGAATGAATCTACTCATAAGGAAGTGATTTGGTGTTTCAGATACTTATATATTAGGTAATTTAGATACTTAGTTACACTCAATATCTATTCTACTGAACTTCATAGTGATTAGAGTGCTTTTATTAAGACTGCCAGAAAAGAACTACACTGTAAGTAAAGGGGCTCTTAGTTTTATCATCAACTCGACTACTAATTGTCCAGTGAGTTAGTTGTTAATATGCCTTAAGCTATTTGCCTATAGCAAGAGTAAGGCAGCATCTGGAAATGTTATTTGTAACTTGACTATTTCAGATGAAATGGAATATGCTTTTGACATGATATTGTTCTTCATTTGTAAATTTGCTGCTACTTTCTATATGTATATCTGTACATACACGTACAGTTATGATTGAAAACCCAACAATGCCCTAACGTGATTTTGTTTCGTAGCATCATAGTGTACTTAGAGTACACATGAAGGAAGTGACTGCAGTCTGTTTGAAATCATGAGTTCTTTGTACATCATAAGTTGACGTTGGTCCACAACTGGAGGAAGAACCATCATTTCTACATGCCATCTATTGGTATATGCCACAACTTTCCACATCACTTTAGCTCATCTCAGGGAATTCTTGGAGTGTTCATTGGGCTAGTTTTGTTTTGTTTTTTGTTTTGGTTTGGGGGATTTTTTTTCCTCTTGCCTTCTTATTGTGTATTTGCTCCTCTCTTAGCTCAATATGTAAGTTTTGACAGCTGTTCTTCACATGTCTGACCCAGCAGATGCAAAGATGGTACCTTGATTTCAGAAAAAAATTGACTTCATTCCCAGTTCCCATTGTTGGCAACACATTGCTGATGGTGATGAGACGGCTCACCCTGCCAGCCAGGATGATGATGGCAGGTCTAGGCTTCATCACTGGGTACAGGATTGGATACTACTCTCACTTTATAGGCATTTAAATTAGCCAGGTTGCTGAGTGTTACCTAGTGTTGTGTGTTGTTTCATTACCCCATCAGTTGAAATATGGAGTGTGCTGTTTAGTTTATTATTGTTGCTGGCAGAATCTAAGGTGAACTGAACATGACAATTACTTTTCTGATAGTGCTGCACAAACCATACTCTCTGTTCTAAACCTATTGTAACCAGTGATGTGATTGTGACAGTATATGAACGTATTTCATGATATAATCCGAGGAAGAACTCAGAATCCTCTACTACATTGTACGTTCCCTGCCAGAGAGGTTGGAGATTGCTGTGTACTTTTCCCATAGTAAAACCCTGTGGTTACTAGGAACTGCACATGCTCTGGTTGCTAAGTTCTCCACATCCTAAACTATTGAAAATGATATGGGGAACTATCATCAGTAAATATCAGTGACAAGAGTTAGCGTGATTGAGATAACTTTGGTTAAATCCCCAAAAGAGAAATCCTCTAGAATTAAGAAGATGGGCTGAAACATACCTGCCGAGTTAACCTAATTAGAAAACTTTCCAAGGTTAACTCTCAGTTCTGAAAATAGAAAGCTTCAATTGAAGAAAATGGAAAATACACTCCTGGTATGGAGGGCAGCAGATAACTTGATGAGGCAAAATTAAGTACTGATTTAACATCCGATATTATGTGGCTTCATTGTGTGCTTTAGAAATGTCTGCGTTTAGCCAAGAAGCATAAATAGTGGCAAGAATAGTAAAGATCATAAAAAAGCTAAAGTAAGAGCTGTACTGAATATAATGGAAAGAGTGGAGTTTGAATATCTGATTTCAGAATCTGGCTTTGCCATTTACTGACCTTTGTAAAAATTACTCAACTTTTCTGCGTCTATAAATACAATCATACTAAAAAAATGTGTTGAAAATTATGATGTTATCCAAAGTGGAAGGAATTATTACTATAATTATATTTTCAGAATGGAAAATAGAGCATTCTTTACTCTTGCTCTTTTCTCAGATGACGAGCATGGAGTTGTGGGAGACATGGCACATTGTTTATGCTCACCTCCCTGAGCTCCATTTCCCCTACATTCAGAATTACATACTGGAAATACTAAGGGTGGAGTTGGTGAGCTCATCAGTAAATAACAGGACTCCTAAACTGACAGATTAACTCTTTTATGGCAGGATGGTAGACCAGCGAGATGGAAGACAAGTGAGGAGTATCATCTACTTTGAGGTTGACAGGACATGACAGAGTGCCATTAAAAAATAAGTAAAAGTAAGTAAAAGTCATACTCAGAGTGGATCTCAGAGAGTTAGCATCTGCCTGTGGAAACAACAAAAGCAGAAATCTGTTAAAGTATCCTAAAAAAGAGGTTAAAAGCATGACTTGAGACCACTATTCTGCTGTAGCTAGAGAAGAGCAGTCTTGATAAACTTGGGCAGTGATAATAACAAAGACTGGTCCTGTAATAGAGACTGCTAGAACTAAGGATGCTCTGTGAAAGAGCATAAATATAGAGCAGGTGTCTTAAGACTGAAAAACGTTGACAGAGATGATGCTAAATTACCCGATTGCAATATTTTAGAGCAAACTTGAAAACTTGGCAACACTAGTCCGTGTGCTTCAAGAAAAAGTAGAGCCTGTACTAGAACATGAAGTACTTAGAGATCAAAGGAAAGTCAGAACTGTGACTAAATATTTTGAAAGCAGTGAGTAAATTTTTAAAAGAATCAAGATTATTTTTGTTAACTCTTATGAGGGTGTTTGTGTGTGTGTGTGTGTGTCTATACAATTATATAGAAATTCTTAGCAAATAACTAAAAATAGTTACCAGCCACTAGATAATAAGTGCAGTGTTGTTACAG